CTGGGAAGATAGCCAGTTTTCCTTTCATCTCTTTCATGTATATTAACCTTCAATCTTGTTCTACACATATCTCTATTAATCTCAGAACAAATACACATGTAACGTCCCATTGGATATTTGGTGTCATTAGTTTCACACTATAAAGATTTCACATAGACTTCTGTCAAAGAGATGGTGTGGATCCAGCCTAAAACTGAAGTCCTGGCCACAGGTTCTAGAATTGAAGATCCCTGTATTTAAGTTGCTCTGAATTAGCAATAAGTGTGCTAAATGGATGTGTTGCATTGTTCTTCAGACTCAAATTAACCTTTCAGTTTGGGGAGCTTGTCTGTTCCTGCAGCTCCACATAGTGACTAAATTATGCAAAATAAAACAAAATACCATATTTTCCTGAAGCAGAGTGACAATGATTAACAAAATTTAGTAATACCTAGAATTGATGTGTTATATGGAAAAGAGGGCCTCTTGTACATACACCATGTTATTGGGAAAACTGGAATATCCCACATGCAAAATAATGAAACCAGACCACTATTTCACATAATACATAAAAATCAACTCAAAGTGGTTAAAAGACTTAGATGTAAGTCTTGAAACCACAATATGGAAGAAAACTTAGGTAAAACACTCCACGACATAAAACTTCAGAAATATCTTTGTGGATTTATCCCCAGCAGCAAGTAAAACAAAGGAGAATTTAACAACTGAAACTACAGCAAACTAAAAAGGTGCTTTATAGCAAAAGAAACAGTAACAAAATTAAGAGACACCCTATGGAGTGGTAGAAAATATTTACACACCATACATCTGACAAGGGATTTATATCAAAGATATTCAAAGAATGCATACAACTCAACAAAAAGAAGACAACTCATTCAAAAAATGGGCAGAAGAACTAAATAAATACTTCTCCAAAAGAAAAGATGCCAATGGCCAACAGGCAGATGAAAAAATGTCCATCATCACTTATCACCAGGGAAATGAAAATGAAAACCACAATGAAATACCACCTCACACCATTGAGAATAGCCCATATTTTATAAAATCAGAAACAAATGCTGGCAAAGGTGTAGAGAAAAAGGAACCCTCTTACACAGTTTCTGGGATTGTAGACTTTTCCATCCCCTATGGAAAGCAGTGTGGAGATTCCTCAAAAGACTAATAGATCTGCCATAAGACCCAGCAATTCCACTCTTCAGTATCTATGCAAAGAACACAAAAACACCAATTTGAAAGGAAACCTGCACTATATTTATTACATAACTATTCACAATAGATAAGATATGGAAACAACCCAAATGCTCCAAAACAGATGACAGATGAGTGGATCAAGAAGTTGTGGGGTATATATATATATAGTATATATATAATATATACACTATACACACAAAAAAAATGGAGGACTATTCAGTATTCCATGGAATGATCAAAAAGATAAACTCATGCCATTTGCAGCAGCATGTATGGAGCTGGAAGGAATACAGCTCAATGAAATAAACCAGAAACTGATAAATACTGGATAGTTTTGATGTGTATGTGGAATGTAAAGAAACCAAAAAAAAAGTCAAAAAAAAGACTTACTTTTAAAAATCAACCTTTGAAAGCTGATCATAGAGATAATGCATCTAGAGTGGGAAGTTGGGGGCAGGGTGAGAATGACATGGAAGCTCTGTGGACTATGTTAGAGGACTACAAGTGCTTTGATGGTGGGAGAGCTACAGTGACTACACCTGAGGGGAGAAATCCTATGCTGTCAAAAAAAAAAAAAAAAAGAGCAGAGATGTAAAACAATGATACTTCATTAAACAAAATAGATCAAGTTAAGACATTTTGACAAAATTAATCAAAAGTCTTATAATGCATATTTTTGATCAAAAAAATTCCCCCTCAGATATCTATAATGGGACTATGAGACAAATATGCAAATATATATGTACAAAATGTTCATTTTAGTACTCTCTATAAGGGCAAGTAATTTAAAATGACCATATACAATGGATCAGTTAAATAAATTTTAGCATATCCTTATAATGAATATACCATGTAGCCATTAAAATAATTCATTCATTCAATCATCCATTCATCAAATATTTATTGAATGGCAGGGATATTATTTGATACTAGAGATGTAATGGAGTACAGATTGGCTATATATTTATCTCATATAGCTGCTGTGTATATCAAAAGTAAATTGAACAGAAAACAAAGTAATTGTTACTTGCAATAAGAACTTGATGGAAATAATAACAGAAGGAACTAGATCGATATCAATTTATATGCAGAGCTTTACCGCCCCCAAGTAGGAACATGTCAAGGACTGAACTACAAGGAATATTCAAGCTTAAGTTATATTTATATGTCTTATAATCAATCAAGTTCCTTATGGACTTAGAGTCTACATAATAGACCATACATGTTAGTCAAATAGTGTCTTTCCAAAAAGTTTCTGTCCTGTAATCCACAGAAATATCACCAAGAAATTCTGCCTGAACATTCACTTTATTGAACTATGTGAAATTTCTTATATTGACCCAACCAAAAATGACAGAAAGTTTAAATTACTGTAAAAATAATTCATCTATATCTATATCCTGAACTAACTTTTTTTTTAATGCACCAATACAAATACCACCCATATTGTAGTTGCTGCAAATGAATCATGAGCTGACAGTGGTAACCCTATTGGCTTACCTGCATAAAATTTCTTCTAACATCTGTACATTTAGAATAATGTTAGAATTTTACACTATATTTTGATCATATCACTTATCCATATGACCATCCTAAAAGGAAAGAGGATGGGAGGAAAGTGTATTTAGTTTTATATTATTCAAGAAAGGTCTACGTATCTTGGTCGTTTTGGGGGAACACTTCCAATCCTTAACTGTGTAAATTTACAATATATGTCCCATGACCTCTGCATGATATCAATTGCATTCATCAAATTTGTTACACAAAATTTAATATTTACAGGCTGCCGTATATTTTAGCCACTATTGATACAAATTTTGGAGTATTGCAAGTTCAAATTCTTTAAAAAATCCTGAGTCAGTGACTTCAACTGCAAAGTAGGGGTATGTATGAGACCTGTCTTATAAAATTATTTAAAAAATTAAATGAGATAACATATGTAAAATTGTACTTAGTAAAGACAGATACATGATAAATCTTCAAGTATAAGTAGTCTTATAGGTTGTTAAAAATCATTTTTCATTTGTTTAGCCTATTCTTGAACTACAGAATCACTCTGTAATTTTGGGTATAAAGTAGCAGAGAAAATACATTGCTCTAGATTCTTTTTTTTTAATAATAAATTTTATTTTTATATTCCCCATACAATTGCAACCCCCCATTCTGACCCCAATCCCTCCCCTCCCGCCCCCCCCACCCCCAAAGAGTGTCTCTGGTTCATAGTTTTTGTTGATTTTGATTTTCACTTTCTTATGGTTATTCATTTTCCTGGTCCCTTATTTAAGTTTTCTAGATTCCTGCTATGAGTGAGACCATCCGGTATTTTTCTTTTTCTTTCTGGCCATTGCTCTAGATTCTTTATGAAGGAACCTAGAGATTATTTGACAATACTTCAATTTGTCCTTCAATCCCAGTTACTGCACTGTCAACTGAAGTAAAGGGTGAATGATAGGGCAGAGGAAATATCTCCCACGGCAAAATTGCATTTAGGGAACACAATTTTCTTTGTGCACAAGATAGTTAGCATTATTCTTAGTGGATTATATATCTCAGTTTATTAATTTACCCTGTAAGATATTTAAAAGGCACTCCTTCCCCAGTTGGCCTTGTAAGTACAGAATAGAAATAATTGCAATTGAAACCATTTTACCTGTGTTTACCACAGCTGCAAGTAAGATTTCTGGCCAGCTGCTAAAGCAGCTACTGAATGTCAAGGACCAAAAATTAAAGTGTGGGTCATCCTCAAATAAGGAGAAGCAGATGGTTAAGGACGGCCTATATCCTCTGCTCATCAGTCAAGTGAGAATGAATCAATGTGGCAAACATAGGTCAAAAAGTGAAGTTTTCTGTGTAATAATCCAAGATGTCAGCAAAACCCTTTCAACCGTGAAGTTTTTTCCTGTAGAACTTTCAATTATTTGTTCCAGAGTTCTATAGACAGGCATAATGGCAGCACCTGCAACTGACAAAAGACCATTATTCAAGACTCCTAAAGGCCTTCTTTGATTATTTTGGGCACTGGAATGTTAAGTGCAATTGTCATTTTAGAAATCTCAATATAAAATCTACTTCATAAATAAAGAAAAAATATATTTTCCTGTGTCTACATCCTAAAATGCCTAAGTTAAGATTCTACCTTTCTTTACTCACTAGTTCTAAAACAATACTCCGACCCAGACAGCAAGTCATTATAGCCTAGTAGAAAAGATTCCATGCTACAGGATCCTATCCCAACTCTGCATTTATATGATACATGACTTTAGACAAGTTGTCTGTGTTTGAAATTCTATAGTTAATGTAATAACAATACCTACTTCACAAGGATATGTGACAATAAAAAAATACACACGTATATATATTGATAAATGCCATATAGTGGTGCTTAATAATTATTGCATATTTTTATTATTTTAAAATTTTTACTTCATATTCTTTCGTCTGTCAACCAACCCTGCATCATTCCTTGTCCTTTGCTCAATCCTACTGCAATTCATGTTGGTTCATAGTGAACAATCCAATTCCTTCTATCAAGGATGATTTATAATCAGCAGAGAATTTTATCTTAATGCACAGTTGCTCAAAGAGGGTCTTCATTAATGCTTTCTACCATTCTGGTCATTTATATCCTCATTAGCTGCTGCGTGGATTCACCTAATGCTGCCACTTCAGATAGTGATGTGTCTTCCCTCCAATCAGCATTCTGAAAAAGAGAAAAAATCTGTTGCTATAAAGATAAACAATTTTGTCTGTCTTACACTGTATGCCAGACAAAAACAGCCATCTATTATGAAATAAAAAATAACTTCATGGTGCTCACTTCAGCAGCACATATACTTTAATTGTAATGATTCAGAGAAGATTTACGTGGTCTCTGCACGTGGATGACATGCCAATTCATAAAGTATTTCATAGTTTTGAAACAGGAACTTTCACTTATGTAGCTGAAAATGAAAGTGGTGAAATCTCTGTAACAGTGAATCTGGCAATATTGTTCAAAATTGCAAATTTGCGCATCCTTTGAACCAGAATCTCAAACCTGAAAATCTATCCTTTAGATATATTCTCGCACATATGAAATAATGAGTTTGCAAGGTTTTTCATTAGTTTGTGATTGCAACGGATTAGAAAAATATAATAATCTCTCAAGTCGGGACTGATTAAATAAACTCTGTTATATCCATACAATGAATTATAATGCAGATAGAAGATATAAAGACGTCCTCTTCATATTGATACAGAAAGACATCCAATATATACAATAAAAATTCTTTTTTCAAGTTATATTGCAGGAGTATATCTGAGGTGTGCTTTTGTGTAAGAAAGGGAGGAATGAGATTTTTTAGTCACATTTGTTTGTATTTGGCTAAATAAACAAAATAAGCTATTAAAAGTGATAACTGATAACAGGAATAGAGAACTGTGGTCAAAACTCTATTTTTATAAATAAAGGGGGTTTTGGGTACATAGCTGTATACATTTGTGTGTGTACTGTTGATACCTGACTGTTCAGTTCCATGGCAGAATTGAGTAATTGTAACAGGGACTACATGACCTGCAAACCTAAAATATTTATGTTTGCTTAACAGAAAAAATTTGGACAGTTCCTCTAAAGTTTATGGTGGGGGAATGTATTGGGATACAAGTGGAAGCTAGACTTCTCAATGTACACACTCTGTTATACCACTTTTGTTTTTGAATTTATGAATGAATGTTATGCTTTTTATAAAATTAAAATAAAGAATAAATCAAAGAAATTTTGTTTGAATCTTCTGGGCAAGAAACAGTAATAAATCTCGAACAGGGATCTGTGTGTGTGCTTGGAGTAGTCCTATTGATTCTTAAATATTTGTGAAATTTAAAAAATAATCAATTTCGAAAATTCACTTTTAAATGAAAAAAAAATATTTTGGCTACTTCATGTGTTGCACTTTCAAAAACCACACACATACGCCATAGCCTGAAGTGTTGTTCTTTAGTCACTTCATACACACATATGAAGCTGTTAAGTGTCTGGCACTCTGCTGGGCAGTTAGTGATAATTATATTCCTTGATGCTATTGATGGAGGACAGGAATAGAAAAAAACTGAAAGAGAGGTGCCACAAGACCAGAAATCTGACTCACACAAGGAGGTGGGGGTAGAAGGTTAGCCTAGCCATTGACCCAGCTATAGAAACCAGGATCCTTAGGTGCCAATGCCTAGATTACAAAGCAAAAAACCCAAGCAGGTATCAGACTGCTGTAGGTAGTGTCTAGAGCACAGGCCCAAGGGTAAAGATAAGGAGATTGAGCCCAACAGATCCCAAAGGCAAAGATATGGAGATTGAGCCCATTGTGGAATCTCAGGTTCGGTCCCTTTCAGATTCTGCATAGCTGCCCAAAGTCACAAGGTGTGAGCCCCTCCCAAACAGAATAGGACTATATCAGTGCAGTCTCTGCACAGGCTTGGATTAGCACTCTGTCTGCCCACCTGTGACTATGCAGGTGCTTCTTTTCACCAACTCTATCCCTCTGCAGGGCAGCAGCTTCCTGCCAGCCTGTGACCTGTACTACCATGCCGGGACTTCTCTTCACTGACCTCCCTCAGTGGATGCAGCTCTCCTTCAAGGCTGCCCGCCTGCAACCATGCAGGCCTCTGTCAGCAAATCTGTCCCCTTTGGGGCAGCTTTTCCTGCCCGCTTGTGTCTATACAAGTGTCCTTTATTATCCATCCCTTTCCCTAATAAGCCTGCCCTTTAAATATAACTAATGTCTCTGTCTCGTGGAGAAATTCTCCCGAGAAACTCGCCACATGCCGCAGAAATGGGAGCTCTGGTGAAATCCACTGACTCCAAAAACAACACTATGATTAGACCCTTTAATCTAGCATATACTGAGTTTTCATTATGTGTTCACCTCCTGCTTTTAATGCTTTACATGCTTAATTTAATCCACACAACATCCAAAATTTGTAACTTCAGCCCATTCTTCTTTCCTGAACTCCAGGCTCATATAGCTGACTACCATCTCTATTTCTCTATTCGAATACCTAATACACATTTCAAATTCAGCGTCCCCAAAACTGAACTCTTGATCTTCCTTCCCATACATATACCTGCTCCATTCACAGCTTTCTCCATCTCATTAGGTACAATTCCATCTTTCTAGTTGCTCAGGCAAAAATACTCAGAGCTCTCCTTGTCTCTTCCCTTCACACAGTATATCTTATTCTCTACTTATAAAACTTTGTACAATCTGATCACTTTTCATATCCACTGCCAACCTGTTCCGATATTCTGTATTATCATTATTTCTCAAAATAAATTACCACACTAACCTGTTCATTGTTCCTTATATCTCCACTTGCCCCTTTACAATTGCCTTCCAACATAGCAGATGTATTATAATTATCCTTTTAAATTTAAGTCTGATCATATCACTCCTCATTACCCCACCACAGGTCCCTTTTTTCATTCCAAGTAAAGGCCACTGTTTAGAAATTCATTCATCTGAGTTCTACTCTGACCATCCTATTTAAATGAAAAAATACTTTCTTCCCAAATCCCTCCTCAGTAGTACCAATCTTACCCATTTCTGTAATCTATTTTCCATATCTTTTTTATGTGTTAACACAAGATCACTATTTATGTTTATTATTCATTCATGTGGTAAAAAAACAGACTCTCAAATATTTGTGAATGGTTTGTTTTATGTCTTCCCCCATTGTACAGAACAGGAAACAAAGGCTCATACATATTTTATTTATTTGCCCCAAGGTCAGAAAATTAATCAGAGGCAGGGTCAGGAATTGAACTCTGATCCTTCAGACCCTAAAGGTCATGGTCTTAATCATTAAACAAGCTCACATCTTTTATAGTGTAGTGCAGGCCATGCTAACCTGGGTTTATATTATTCAGCCATAAGGGCAGCTGTGAAGCAAGATCAGCAGTTGTCATTGAACTTGAATATAGCTCTCCAGAGAATAAAGCAAGAAAGTTGGAAAAGCACAAAGGTGATAAAATGGTGCCATTCAGGTTGACAGTTTCTGATATAGCCTTATCTGGATAATGGGAAAAAGACATACTTGAAGGGTTTTACCATCAACCTACATTTTCTTCTTCACTTATTCTGCACAATTGTGTTAATGATACTTAGGCAAGTCAAATAAAACATTTCCAACTGCCTGAGTCGCAAAGTAATTTCACAAGTAAATATCCATTAGAGTTTCATGCCAAGGCATGGTAGGAGAGTTTAGGCAGAGTCCTCTGGGCAAAAGAGCCCTGGGAAAAGAGGAAACCTTTGTTAAAATGTGAATTGAGACTAACCTCAGCACCTTCTCTTCGATTGGACTCCAACTTCTAATGCTCCCTAAGGGGCAGAGAGTGCCGAAAGATTTCACAATGTTTTCACAGAATGACTATAACCTAGTAATTCTGCTGTCTTACAAATGCCTGCTATATGTTTTATCTTGCTTAGTAAAAGAATGTAGAGCATGGTAGCACTCAAGAATATGCTTATAATACAACTTCTGGGATGTGCAGCTGATGGGCTCAAGGAGAATTTGCCCTTCAGAGTTCCACGGAATTTTCCATTGTCTGTTCATTACCTGATGGGAATAAAACAGGCCAGAACCTTTTAAACTGTGCCCCAAGGTCCCTAAGGAGTTTCCACATTTTGTATATTACAGGTGAAGTTAAGATTTACAGATATATTTATAGCAGTGCTGATTTTTCTTAAATAGCTATTTGTGATGATTTCTTTATTTAGTTTTTCCCTTATTTTAACTGTATATGTTTTTTTTCTTTTCCCTGTAGTGCAAACATTATAATATAGTGACTTAGAAAACCAACCCTAGAGCCAGAATACTCAGAATCAAGTCCTGACACTACGTTTTAGCTAATCTCATTTACCTGTTCACTTGTGATAAAATGTGCTATTAGGGGAATCAATGAGATAATGTATGTAATAATACTGCATATAGCTCTTATTTTTATATTTTGCAAATATGACTCTGTAGAGTTAATATAGTAAAGCATGAAGAAACAGACTTGAATCAGTAGGCCTGGTTATAGAAACCCAGGTTTGCCAGAGACCACAGCAACTTTAAGTTAAATAACTTAATCTCTTCCTGCCCAACTGTTTTGTTTTTTTTTCCAAATATTCACGAAGTGAGAAGACGTGTCCCAGGGTGGTCCCTAGGGAGAGGGGAGTTTTAGGTTCACTGTCACACTCCTGGAAGGTGATGTTTAGCAGGGAGGAGAAGCAAGAGAAGATCTGGCTGAGGAGAAGCAGAGACAGATGGAGAACAAGGAGGCATATGGAGCAGAGAGGCATGTGAAGAAGCTGTGTTTGTTCAGCTTTGGACATGTACTAAGGACTTGGGGGACATGGAAGGTGACACTTGAAACAGGCATAGGTGAGAGTCCTGTGGGGAAGTTGACAATGGCAGCCTTTAACTTGATTTGTACTTTGACTTTATTCTTTCCTTCCAGACTTGCCTGGTCCCTTCTGTCCCTTTCCTATGGTTACCCACCAAAAAGTGCCTTAGACTTGTGGCAAACCTTTGGGCCTCTAGGGCCCTGCTTTGGGTCAACCCTGTTTGGGTGGTCATGAGGGGATGGATAACTTTGAGTGTTTCATGGAGAAGCTATTTAACTATATCTTTTATTTTTTCTCTATTGCATACTAATTGTATTAAAGTTACTTTCTATTAAAGGTCTTTGTGCACTAAACTATGTTTTGTCTTGATGCAGTGGATGGCACAATTCATTTAGAGTTGGCAGGTTTGGAGGGTCTTGGGGTACCCCTTACCCTGCCTGATAACAGATTTGGTGGCCATGGCAGTAGTTAAGCCATCTGTGAGTTAGTCAGCCCTATGGGGAAAGGTGGTTTCCCTGTAGCACTGGCTGCCATATGTGCAAATGTGGTTTTTGTTTCT